AAAAGGAAAAAAAGAATGGTTAATACAGTTTTAAAGAAAAAAATTAATCCAAAAAAAATTTACCATAAGCTCACTTGAAGAAAAAAGTCTGGGTCGAATTCCAAAAGAAAGAGGAAAAATACGATTAATACCATTCTATAAAAGAAATTAACTCTCACTCTAAAACTTACCAAGAAGTCTGCTTAAAGAGAAAATCCAAGCTGATTCCTAAAAAAAGGAAAAAAAAGAACGGTTAGTACCATTCAAAAGAAAGAAACTGTTTCAAAATATCTAGAAGAGTTTGGTCAAAGTTTCGAACCTAGCTGTGAATTAAAAAAAGATCGTTGTTTTATAGAACGATTATCACTGCAGTCCCTTCCACTCGTAAAAACTTATCATGAGTTTGCTTGAAGAGAGGGTTCAGACCGAATGTTAAAAAAAAAGAAAAAAAATACAAAAAAATTAACCAACCCACCCATAAAAACTTACCGTAAGGAAAAAAAAAAATAGTATAATGATAGTTAATTTGACTGGGTAGGGAGTTACCGAATTGCGTACGGTTATAATTATGTGATTGGATATTGAAAAAATAAAGTTTCCGACCTTTCTACTGCAAAGAAATTTGTGTTACGAATATGCCATTTTTAGATTTGTATCGACTTCTTACTATTTTTAGATGTAAATCATTTTTGTGTAACATTCGCTTAAATCTGATTTATCTCGATTTTTTACTATGCAAATCAATTTCCATTTATAATTGAAAAATGTAGCCCATATTAAGATTTACCCAAATATAGCAAAAATCCATTTTTCGTTTTTGGAGTAGTTTCCGACTTTTCTACTGCAAAGGCCCCATATATATTTTAAATTTTTTTTAAATCAATATTTATCAAGTAATTAAAATCTTTTTTTATTAAAAAAAATTAATTAGTTTAAACTCAAGTTCAATAATTTTTTCTAAATTTATTATTAGAATAAAATTATATAAAGATTAAATAAAAAACTAATAAAAAAAAATATATGAGTTATTAAATAAATTAATAAAAGCAAAAAAAAAATAACTTAAAAAAAATGAAGAAAGAAAGTAATAATATTTATATTTGTATTATTTATATTATTATAGCTTTTTTTTGATTTTTATTTATTATTAATATATTTAATATTTCTTATAGTATTATAATAAATAACAAAACTGAAAATTTATTAAGCATAAAATAATAAAAAAATAACAAAAATAGATTTTATTAAGAAGAAAACTTAAAAATAATATTTTATTGCTTAATTATATATAGTAATATTTGTAATAATTACATATATTAATAAATAATAATGTAAAATTTACATAATAATAATGTTTAATAATTTATATATAATAAATTTGTAATTAAAAGTATTATGAATAATATTATATAAATTTTTAAAAAAGAAAACTTGTATATTATATTTATAATTTTAATTTATAATTTTGATAAGAAATAAGATTTTTTTTTTTAGAAATTTCTGTAATATCATATGATATATATAAATTACATGTAGTGTAAAATTAGTTTTTTTTTCTAAAATTTATATTTTATTTATAAATTTTATATTAAAAATTTATTATTAATCTTTTGACAATTTTATAAAATTTACTTTTAGTAATATTAATTATAATATAATATAAAATTTATTATAAAAAATAATTAAAATTTTTATAATTTATTAAGAAATTTATTAGTAGTAAAATGATTTAATTATATAAAACATTAAAAAATTATTATTTTTTAAAGTATAAGCGTAAGATATTTTTAATTAGATAACTTATAATACATTATCTATTTATTCACATATGTGATTAACTAATAAGATGTATTATTATATTATCACATGATTTGATTTCTAGATGTAGTTACCTTAAATTAAATAATAAAAATTTGAATTATTTTTCTGTGATATATTTAAATATTATAAATTAACACTTTAAGTATTATAATAGTTACCATATTTAGTAATATATTTTTTAAATCTTAATTTAAAATTGTATGATTTAAAAACTTTTTAATAAAACTTAAATATTTTCTAATTAAAATTTGATAAAATATATAGTATATAATTATATTTTCATATCATTAAAATTAATATTTTATATTTATTGAAAAATTAATTATTTTTTAAATTTACAGATAAATTTGTCTGTTAAACTATTAAAGAAATAATCTGAATTTAATTTTTAAATTTTAGAATTTTTTATTTTTTTACTTTTAATAATAATATAATAATATTTTATAATAAAAGTTTCTTTAATTTATAAATATTTTAATATTTTGTCCTTTTAAGTATAAGAAAATAATATATTAAATTCTAGATTAAAATATAAAAAGAAATAAATATAATATTTTTAACTGTTATATTTATTAATTAATTAATTACTATTTTTTATTTTTTTTTTTATTAAACTTTAATATATAAAATAAAAATTTTAATTATATTTAATATAAAATAATTTTAAAAATTAAATTAGCTAAAAAATAAAAATTTTTAATTAATTTAAGAGAATTGCTATTTGAGTGATAAATAACATTTTTAGTATAAAAAATTTTCTAAGTTCCCAGATTAATTAGTAAAAACGAAACATAGTTCGGCGTGATAAATAGAAACCTAAGCTAACCCACCCTAACTAAACGCAACTCCACATATCATATGACCCGTGTTTCATACACCCCGTGTTTACTAAGAAATTTTCTTGAATTAAATTTAATTTTAGTAAAATTTATCACACTGTGAAAAAATCTCATTATATCCTAAAATAAATTTCTATTGAAGCATTCATTTTACAGTATATATATAAAGGGAATGGCGACGATTTGAATCGATCGGCAATGTTTTTTGGTCCATATTTGTACTGTACATATTGAATTTATACTACTGCCTGTTCGATATATCATTTCTCACTTTCAATTTTTTCCTGAAAAAATAGAGACGCAGGGTAGAATATTTTTGAGTTGAAAGCGAAAAGCTAGACCGTTTCTTTGTTTTTCTTAGGACCTCTAGAATAATGATAAAATTTAAAATAAAACGTGTTAGTACGTGTAAATTAGTATTGTCTTGACAAGAACCGAACTTGCCTACAAAATTTCTAGAACATCATAATAGCTTTCGATACCTTTCTTTCTTATATTTAAGACACAGCGTTAAATACAGAAATATTAATTTTATTATTTTATTAAAAAAACGAAATGTTTATTTCACATATTATATAGAAGTTTTATGAAATAGACCTTCAAAATCACCTACATGGTTCATCGTAAAGTTGGTCTCTCACTTGGGAGGTTAAAATGTTACATTCTTTTAACTAATGAAATCTTTGATAATTCTCAAAGTGATTTTAATTATCAAAAATGAAACCGGACAAAAAACTTTTGTAATGGAGAAATAAAAATGTTCATTGCCTTAAAGTTTTCCTTGATAATCTGAACAATTCTATACTAAAACAAAGTAATTAATGTATTAAATTCGGTTTTCATAACTTTCATCACCTATATAAAACATATCACAATATCTAACCAATTGTTGCGCACCACAATCCATCGCTAGACCATGAATTTCATTTATATTACTTTTGGTCACGTACTTTGAAATTTCTTTTTCGCAACGTTGAATCAATGTTTGAACAAAAAATCTTGTTGCTCCATAAAGTAATTCATACCATTGACTCAACCCATTAACAGGAAGTATCTCTCCATAATACATAAAATAAAGAATTTTATCCATCATTAGATAAGAAACACCACAAAGCTCAAGCCTTCTCTCATTGACTTCAAGCATATTAGAATTAAACATCGCTCTAAAATAATCTGAATACGCCAAGAGAATATGAGAATGAACATAGAAATAACCTTTAAAATCCGGGAAGCAATCCTGTAATTCTCCCGTGCATTCATTTTGTTTTAGAATTATGATAAAGTCACAAGTGCTTTTATCGTTCAAGATCGCAGAGAAATTACCCTTCCATTGTATCAAAGGTAATGGGTCGCATGTTATATCAGGAACCAATTCAACTCTAATGTCCATCCCGAAATTTTCATCATCATCCATTAAAGGCATAGGTTTATTCATTCTCTGTTTGAAAAGTACTGCTTCTATCCATGAAAGTTCTCTTGAACAATACACGATTTCCCCTTTCAAAATAAATCCATATTCGTATTTGACAAGATCCGAAATATCTATTCTACCGTTCCAGGAAAAATAATTTACCACATCATGAGAAACCATTTCTGTCTCAAATTTTATCGATTTCCATTCAGGATTTTGATTCTTATTTGAGGGCAAAGCTAAAATAGACCACGATATATAATAGTTCCTTTCCATCGCGGTATCAAGCTTTACAGATAATGATGAAATTAATAAATTTCCGGGTCTGTAATCAAATTTCCACATGATAAGCGAAGGGGAACATACTGTAGAGAATGGATTTTTGCACAAATAAATCGTATTTGAACGATCATCTGCATCATAAGCTATATTTTTGCACTTTAATGTTCCTCTTCGCCATATCCTTAAATATTTCTTTTCAATGATTCCATTTTCATAATACGCGTCCGTTCGAGCATTATATGACATCCTATGCAGGAATGTGTTTGACTTTTCTTGATGTGGTAAAATGTTAAGTCGATACGTGTTATTAAATAATCCGGTTACAAATGGATCGGATGGATTATTCGTAATTTCTTCTTTTGTGGAGGCATGATACACGATAGATCTCTTGGAATTATGCTCATCAATTTTCTTTTGTTTCAATTTAATCCTGATATCCATCCCAAATGGTGAGGTCTCTGACTGAGCATACAATCCTTGAGGATCCCTTTCATCCATATTTTGTCTGAACAATTGCGCGTCCTCCCAAGTGTGACCGCCTCTCAATTCAACTCTTAGCATAAATCCTGTCCCACCTTTAATCAAGTAGGTAATAGATACATCATCTAGTACGTTGATGTATAAGTGATTATGTTGATTACGTTGATTTATGATTGGGTTAAACCAAATTATCTTCCAATTTAAATTTTTATGATCTGTAGGATCGTTGTCAGTTAGTTTACATATATACCACACAATTTGCGTATCTGGATTTAATGTGGAGTGTTGTAATCTAACGGTTCCCTCCAAAATCTGTAAATTTGTTGGGGAATAATCAAATTTCCAAACAATGTAGGATGATTTCCTGAAATTTTCGCCAAAGTTATCCCGAGTTAAATATGCACTGCATATAAATGAAATTTAGTTTACGATCGAATTTATCCCTTTTTTTTTTATTTTTTAAAAAAAAATAAACAAATACACATATATATATTCCTGTATATTATCTTACATTCTACAAGACTGATTGCGAGTATGATCATATGAAGGATAATATACGATATTGTTAAACTCGAGGATTCCACGGTCCCAAAATTCTAGATATACTTTATTGGTAATTCCATTTTCATAGTAAATGTCCTTTCCCGTATCATATGAAATTCTATGCGTAAAAACGATGGGATTTTCTGGATGTGGCAATACGTGCATTGGATATTTATCATTAAATAATGGTGTTTTGGAGGAACAAAAATAGTTGGACGAGAATATTTCTTTTTTCATAAGGACCGCCGTTTCTTCATCAACAGAAGAGGGATATCTAACTTTACAATATTGTTGTCCTTCCATATTCATATTAAAAAGAAAGAGACGAAACAGAATTTACAGAATTTAAGAAAAGGTTTTTTTCCATTTTAATCAGTCATATATATGTATATAATACTATCAAAGCTACGTCAGATTTGAAATTTCATGCGGTTTTTTTTTTTTGATTGTCTTTTTATTATATAGGAATTAATAAAAAAGCACGAAAGTACGTATTGTTTTGAATAGTCATTGCCAAATGGTAACCAATATAAATTCTGCCTTTCAAAAAAATCATTCATTTTTTTTCATATTTTTTGATGTATCAAAAAATAAAATAAGAATAAAAATAAAAAGATTTTTTATGATAAAGTATTTTTTTTTTTTTATTACTGTACTAATTTTTTTTTCTTTTTTCTTTTTTTCGTAGCACTTAATTTTTTTTTTTTTTTTTGTTGTATTTACAATTACAAAATATTGAAAAAAAAGGTTTTTTTTAAAAAAAAAAAAAAAAAATCAAAAATCATTAGACCAAATATGTATATAAAAATAAATATATAAAGTATTTAACTATATTATACAATAAAATAAATAATACTGACACCCATTTCTTCAGAAAACCGATTATCTTATGTCTCTGCTAGTTGAACCCTTGTTAGATACATCCCTTACCAAACCTTCATGATCTTCATTATCAGCTTGTTCATCACCTCCACTGCTAATACTTCTACCAAATTTAAATCTATCAACGATACTCATGGTATTTTGAGATCTTCGATTTGAACTAGTGCTACTTTGTCTCCTTAAATTATCACGAACGGTACCACTATAGATTTCACTATTTATAGTGGAACCATTATCCAAAATAAATGAATTGGTTGGGGACAAATGTTGTTTGAGATAAGTTATTGGATGTTGAAGTGGGGAAGGTAAAGGGGGTAAAGTTAGCTCATTATAAAATCCATCATTTTCTTTATTTTGTTGCAACTCCTTTGTTGGAGTAGCAACTTTTGTTGAAGAAGAAGAAAATGAAGGAGTTGTGGTATGAATGATAGGATGGCTTCTTATCGTATCATTTTGATTTTGATTAAGTTCTTTAACTGACGAAGTAGGTGAAGTTGAAATAGGTGAAGTGAAAAATTTAATAACAGAACTCCTTGATTGATTATGTTTCTCATCAGTTGGTGTAAATGGTGCAATTTGTGGATTTCCTAAAGATTTTGTGGTCGTCGTCGAGTAACGCGCAGCATTTTTATCGGACTCGTTAATTGTTGGTAAACCACCATCACGCATACTACTTCTCCTAAATATGCCATAATTCAGACTCTGGGTTCTTCTATTCGTATCATTATTACCATATTCTTTAATACTTGAAGGTATGATATGCGAAGGCAACGCGGGGTGAGTTTTACCAGCACTCATAGAATATCTGCGAATACTACCGAAACTCCCTCGAATCTCTGATGCACCGGGTTCATAATCAACCCTGCTTAATCTATTATCAGCGATATCCGCGTCAGTGGGTGAATCGATCGTTCCTACACCATCCAACCCTGTTGCCTTTGAGACTTGTAATAATACTATACCACTACAAATCACGAGAAACCCCATTACAACCGTGATCACACTTTTCGGTTCGGCTTCAAAACCTTGTGACAAGATGGCCGAACTCATTATCGTCAGACTTGTAAATGTGACATAATAAACTGGTGTTACCATTGCCGTATTAAATAAATTTAATGCCTTATTCAAATAATTAATTTCTGTTAATAACGTTATCACCACGAATGCCAAGAGCACGTAAAAAAACCAATGTGTGAATTGATTATTTCCTTGAATCGTTTTAATTATTGCCGTACCAATGCCTTGGGTCGTTACAACTGATAAGGATCCAATTAACGAACATATTCCAATGTATACCAGCATGTATCTTGACCCAAATTTTGGTGCTATTTTCCAAATCGTTATTAACGATCCCAATATTGCCAAAATCGCGTATACCAAGAACACTATGAGGAAAGAAAGTAAGGGTTAATCATGACATTAAAAAGGATGAAATATCCATCATTTAATTAATTTTCATTACCAGGTGCGAAAAACATCCTTTTAAATTCTTCGATATCTGTTGCGGTATGTTGATTAGGGGCATGTAAAACAATTATAATTGCGCCGATTATACATTGCAAACAACCTATTTTACCCTGAAAGTTTAACCTCTCTTTTAAGAATATGGAAGATAAGATGGCACTAACAATTTAAAAAAAAAATTCAACATTTATAGAGATTAAACTATGAGAACGAAGGGTTTAGATCTTTACCTAATAACTACGCTAAGCGCACCTAAGGGCGTAACTAGGATAGCTTGTGTAAAAGCGTATGCAACGAAATTACATATTTCTCCAACAATCACTAAATATAAGATAACATCAATTAGATAATGTCTTACAAATGAATGAAATCTTTTTTATTATTGTTTTTTACAAGCTTACTTAGTATCATTCCTGTCCACCATAATCCATTTGAAAGATAGTTATGGCCTTGACCTGCAACAGATCCGGCTATTCCGAAAAAAAAAAAAAAGATTGACAATTAAAACATCGAGAAAAGAAATCTCTTTTTAAACAAAGAGAAATTTCAAAATAAAATACCTTGAATTTGGGCCTGAATAAGGCCTTTTTTCTTAAACACGAATGATGATCCGATAAATACGCCTATAAATAAATAATTCCATATTTTTTTTTTTAAAAAAAAAATAAAATAGAATTTTGAATTATTGATTAGCGTATCATTCCATTCAAAATATAAATAAATGACTTTATTGTAACTTACCACTGGTTATCGCTAGAATTAAACCGACAGATTTAATTACGGGATCATTTTGATCCAACGAAACTGCTCCATTTGCATTTTCGGCTCTTCGAATTATTAAATCATCCATATTTGAAGATAAAAATGAATTGATATATTTACTCGTTAATAATGATAACAAATTATGTCTGGGGGTATTTTTTTTCTTGTTTCTAAAAAAAAAAAAAAATAGACTATGCCGTTGAAATGATGTATGAATATGTATGTATGTAAGATAAAGTGTGAAAATGCGAAAAAAAATTTGTTTTTTTGCAAAAAAGAATTAAAGTTCGTTAAACAAAGAATAATTCCGTAAATATTTATAATTTATCTCCTATCTCCTTAAAATTTTTTTGTGGCTATCCTCTAATTTTTTTTTTTTTTTTTTTAATCAAAAGAAATAAAGGATGGTCAATAAATCTTTTTTTTTTTTAAATCAAAAGGAAATCGTAAATAAAAAAAAATAAATATATTTTATTTTTTTTTTAAAAATAAGAAAACGAGTGTCGAGACGATTTTTATTATTTATGCGTCTATGATTTTTTTGGTTAAACAAACTTATAAATAGTAATATATAATTATAATTAATAATTAAATAATTTAATTATCCAAAGCTACCAGAGCCTTAATTTCTTTCGATTGGAATTGAAAAAAAAAAAAAAAGAAAGAATAAAAGGGAGAGGAAAATTTATAAAAATCAAAACAAATCAAGACACAAAAAAAACAAAGAACCAAAAAAAAAAAAAATAAATAAAATAAAAAAGGAAACCAATCAATTTGTATCTTCTTTTTACCTTTTAATATTCATGTGTAAATATATATATATAAAAAAAAAAAAGAAGGGGATGGGGGAGTTTTAGAAGTATAAAAATGTTACTTTTCTTACACAACTAAAAATAAAAACTAAACAATTGAACAACATGGTTGTTACCAATAAGGAGGGCGTATCATGGAAATAGGGCTGAGATAAACATTCGAATTCAAAGAGTTTTGTTAAAAACATTTGGATGCTAACAAATTTACGGTAATACCACTTATAGAAATTGATCGTAATCTTTTAGATACTCGCCGATTGTAACTAAATACATAATAAATGTGGCACAGCCCTTTTGGATAAACGGCTTGGTTCATAAAAGCCATAGGATCATAAGCCTCGATACGTCTTCTCACATTTTCGTTGTTGTTATAATTAAATGTTTCATGAATTTAATAACTATTGTTATCAACAATGCTACTGCAATCAAATTTACACCATATGGTTGGAAATCCAACATTTAATTTTCATTTTGGTCAAGATTTCCATCAATATTATAGAAAATTGCCAAATTTAAATTATCTACCCGGCCGATAAATTGAGCACCAATTACAAGTTAAATCTGCAAGATCTATACCCCAAATAAAAAAAAGATTAACGTTGGGGTGATGCGTTAACCATAACAAAGTGAAGACAACCGAAAGTAGGGCAGTTTCTTGCGCCGGACCAAAAAACAAATGCATTTACCATTAACTCATCTCGGTGGGTTTGGTTTTGACGATCCAATGGTTGGAAGTGTTACCACGCAAACGGAGAATCTATTCTTTAACTTTACTTAGCAAACGATTAACAAGTGTTTTTCTCCTGTTACATCAGACCATGTGTTTCGAAAGGGTTGGGCTAAAGAGATAACTTGTTTCAGATATTGTTCGGATGTTTTCGTCCGAACCCTTCCCAATAAGTGTTGCTCGTGATTTTCAAGTTTATTAGTCAGTCAAGACTTCGGCAACAACGATGATAGTAATATTGTTTACTTACTGCGCCCACTTGAATTGTTTATTACTGCGGCTCACCGATTTCATAATCACAAAGCTTAAAGTTACAAACCGAGTGTGAGGTAATACATGTGCTGTATCATCCTATCTTGAAAATGTTAGGTTTGTCGAAAGCTGAATTATTATTTCTTTTTTTGTTGAAGAAAATAAACGTGAATTCCTGTGCCCACAAAGAACCTAAATAAGGAATACAGTCGTAGATTTTCATAATAATATTAAAAATGATTTATTATTTATTCTTTAGGGAATCTGCAATGAATGCGAGTGGGGTTCTTTTGTTAAATGACCTCAAAATTTTTATAGGTCATTGAGGTCTTTTCGTGGCCAGTTGCGAATATCATTGATTGAAAATTTGGTTCCACTTTTACAATTTGTTATAATAATGGGAGGGCCAGAAATTACGCCATTTTGATCTTGGACCCTCTGTTATCATTTTTATTACTTCTAATTAAGGATATATCATCCTAGGTGGATCCCCTTAGGAAATCACGCCATTTCTGGCCCTTCCCCTAATACCAATCTATATATTGACTGAAAAGTGGATTTTCTAAAACAAGTATTTTATTTTGAGACGCAACCTACTTTTTTAAATAGATAACCAAAGTTAATCAACTACATTTATAAATTCCGCTATGATCTCATGCGCTTGAATTATTTATTTTTCTTAAATCCTCCGCATTGTTTTTGGAAGAAAGCTTACTTACTATCAATAATATACAAGCATTGTGAAATTGATTATAGATGATTCGTTAAAGACTTCTCTAAATTATCATCAAATTAACGGTGACAAAGAATCTTTTAAATGTAAGATTAAAGTTTTTAATATATCCAAAAATTACGTGATACAATGTAAGAAGCGCGATCGACATACCTCGTGTAAGATCGATCTTATTTTAATCATAAATGATTCCTTTTTTTTCGAATTCAAGCATCTCACTCATTTTTGCCATGCCACAACCTTCAATTATACCTCGTAAAGTCCTTTTCGGTAACCCTTCAAGAGCATCGCCAACAATTTCTCCTGATGGAAAATATTTAGCATTTATTGCACCCAAAGATGGTATACTAAACATTTACGTTTGTGACAATCCTAGGGATATTTCATCCGCGAGAGCAATTACCAATGATAAACATCGTGGTATCAGAACATACATGTGGAGTTTTAGTAATCGAATTATTTATAAACAAGATAAGGATGGTGATGAAGGTAATCAATCAACCAATAATAAATAATAATTGAGATCAAAAAAATTTGAATAGGTTTTTTTTTTTTTTTCCTCCTTCTTCTTTTTATAGATTTTAAAGTATATTCTGTTGACGTAAATTCTGGCGAAGAAATTTTATTAACACCGTTCGATAAAACAACTAGTACACCTGAGAGATTTTCTTCAGATTTTCCTGACGAAATTGTTATTTCAATTAATCACCCTGATCCAACGGCCTTCTCGTTATATCGTAGTAATTTAAAAACCGGTGAAATTAATTTAATTGAAGAGAATACTCAAGGATTTATAGGTTATTTTGTTAATGATGATCTAAAAGTTCGTTTTGCCACTAAACAAACCGATGAAGCGGGAAATGATGTTTATAGAAAAATTAATGATGAATGGGAATTAATGATTTCATATGATCTTGATGATACAATTTCTTCCGAGATAAAATCATTGGTAAAGGATGATAAGGATGAATTAGTTTATTTGACCGATTCACGTGATAGAGAATTTAATGCTTTGTATAAAATTAATTTAAACGATCCTAAAAAAAAACTTCATTTAGTAGTAGATCCAAAAAATCAAAAGTCTGATATCGAAGAAACCTTACTAGATCCTCGTACGAATGTTCCATTAGCTTACTCTTTAAATTATTTACGTAAATCATGGCACCCCATCTGTTCTGAAGTGTCAAAGGATTTAGATTTCCTGAAAAGTGTTGATGAAGGTGACATCTCATTCCTTTCTCAAACTTTAGACAATACTATTTGGATCGTTGGTTTTGAGAATGACACTCGATCTGCAATGTATTATTTATATGAAAGATCCGAAAGGAGTGTTCATTTATTATTTAATCAAAGACCGGAATTAGATGATTATGAATTAGTCAAATTACACCCTGTTGTTATCAAATCCAGAGATAACCTAGATTTAGTTAGTTATCTAACCGTTCCGCTGAAGAAACATGATCCTTATACTAATTATAAGCCTACTCACCCTTTACCTATGATACTTGCGGTTCATGGTGGACCTTGGATTAGAGATTATTTTACTCCTTTAAGAGGAGATCATCAATTCTTCGCTAATCGTGGTTACGCTGTTTTAAGTGTAAATTATAGGAGTTCAACTGGCCTTGGTAAAACTTTGCTCCGTTCTGGTAACGGTGAATGGGGCGGAAAAGCTCACGATGATTTAATTGGTATGTTGACTTTTACTTTTAAATAAAATATTTTTTGTTTTGAACAATATATACATATGATTTTGTAAAATACATTTTTAAAATTAAAAAGATGCGATCAACTGGGCGATTAAAGAAAAGATTGCATTGAAAGATAAAATTGCTATTTATGGTGGTAGCTATGGAGGTTATGCTGTTTTGGCGGGATTGACCTTTACGCCAGGTGTATTCGCTGCTGGTGTTGATATTGTTGGTCCTTCGAACCTTGGTAACTATTAATTTGATCTGCTCTTTTTTTTCGTTGCTTTTTATTTATATATCATAGATTAGATTATGCAATTCACAAAATTTTTTTATATTTTTCATAATCATAGTGACACTTCTAAAGTAAGTTTGGAAAACTATTCTGTAAATAATTTCTAAAATAAATCCGTTATCTCGTTTTAAATATAAATATTAAACCTTTATACTAGATCGATTCCGCCGTATTGGAAAGCAATGTTAAACGAATTAAAGAAACGTGTTGGTGGTGATCCCGAAACCGAAGAAGGTGTTAAATTTTTGTCAAGTCGTAGTCCGTTAAATTTTGCAGATAAAATTTGTAAACCATTATTGATTGCTCAAGGTGAAATTTTTTTTTTTTTTATGTGTGTATGTTAATTTATTTATTTGATATTGATCCTTTTCCTTCTTTTTACCTAAAAAAAACTCTAGGACAACATGATCCTCGGGTTAAACGTGCAGAATCGTAAGCTTGGACTTTTAATCAAAGCGATCTTATGAGATTATTTATTTATTTTTTAATACTAATTTTCATTTCTAATTTTTAGTGATCAAATTGTTTCATCATTAGTATCAAAATCAATCCCAGTTGATTATGTATTATTTAATGATGAAGGTCACGGATTTGCTAGACCAGAAAATAGAATATCATTTTTTGCCATGACAGAAAAATTTTTATCTGTTCATTTAGGTGGTAGATATGAAGAGGTTGGTAATGATTACGAAGGGTCCAATTTCACCATCATCAATGGTGTTGATATATAATGAAATTATGATTTAAGGTCTTACAGGAAAAGTTATTTGTAATAATAAAGATAAACATATATTTAAAGATTTGTTGATTATCTCGATAATCTTGATGAAAAGATTTATTATTTATTTCACATGATTTTTATAACGGTTACCCTATTTTTTTTAATAACTTGGACCTGCAAAGATTATGAATCATCACAAACTTTTATCATTGAATTGTACCGGTAATAAAACATGCCTTTCCTTTTACAAATTAATGATTATAGGTTCAGGTGATCCAGGTTAGAAAGAGTGAACTTTATAATGATGGTGATGATAAAGAAAATTCACTGATACGATCATCTGTGCGTATCATAGGTTCATTCTGTTCAAGATCAATTAAAAAGTTTTCGAGCATGATAATACCCGAGGAATTGAATTCCAAAGAATCGATCAATAAGAAATCAAGGAATAGACAAAAGAAAGAAGAAACCCAACGATCAAGATTAAATTCGATAACGGAACTATTCAACAACTTTTATATTCAACAATATGGTAAAGAACGTTGGCCAAACTTATTAAGTTCATTGAAGGGTCCTTCAAAATCTTGCGCAATGATAAATAAATTCGCTTCAAATACGAGCATACTCGAGTTCATTCATGAATCAAAGTCAAGTAACAATTCGGATATGATGAAGGTTGATTATTTAGGTGTGGAGTGTTACGTTAGTGATTCAAAATTTCCTAAACCAAAAAAAGACGAGCATAACATATTCAACGTGTATCACCTCGATTTGGCCTCCATAATGGTTACCAAGGCTTTGGACGTTCAACCTGGTGATATGGTACTAGACTTGTGTGCTGCGCCTGGTGGGAAATCCTTGGCCATTTTACAACGTCTCCTGAATAATGTTGATCAAAGGGGAGGTGCAATTGAAGGAAGTTCGACTCGAGAAAGTGGAGGAATGTTGATCGCTAATGAAATCAACAATAAGAGATTTCATAGACTATTGCAAGTAATTAAATCTTACATCCCTTTTAAATATCATCAAGACCAAATCAAATTGGTAAAGAATTCTCCTACTCGGAATTTTAGCTATGATAAAATCTTAGTAGACGTTCCATGCTCTTCAGAACGTCATTTAATCACCGATCAAAATGAATTGTCAAGGTGGAAAGAATCCAGGTCCAAAAATTTTTCAATAAAACAATATAATATATTATTAGATGCTGTTAAGGCCCTTAGAATTAATGGTATTTTGGTGTATTCAACTTGTTCTATTAGTAATTTGGAGAATGATCTCGTGATTAAAAAAATTTTGGAAAATAGCTGGGTGGAATTACAAGCGGTTAAAAGAAACGATGGATGGGAATTCGGTGAAGAAACTGGATTTGGATGGATTGTTTTGCCGGATAAATGTGATGGTTATGGCCCAATGTATTTTACAATTTTGAAAAGGGTCGAGAAGGGAAATAAATTTTGAGAAAAAGTTGAAAAGTACGCGAGTTTTTATTTAATTGTTCGTAAAGCTTACATAAATATTAAATATAAGAAAATTTAAAGAGGTAAAAAAAAAAAATATATAAAAAAGTAAAATAAAATCTTTTTTCTACACCTGTAATATAAAAAAGCTAAAAGTAAAAATTTTGAAAGGCTATCCGTTACAAAGAGAGAGAGAAAAAAAATTCATTATTTGGCGGTCTCGTTTAAAATATCCTTCGCAATCATAGTTGCCGCGATCGGATGGTAAAATGACCTGTTCTCAATAAAGGTTTTCTTCGCTAAATCTGATCCATTCTTGGTACCGTTCAACATTCTAGACAGTGATAAAGGTGTATTAATAATATCGCTTGGCTCAATTAAACTGTAATTTGATCGGACTTACCTATATAGGGGTCTAACGTATTTCATTCTTCCTTGTTCAGTTACAAATTTAACCACATGAGGAAATATTGGTTCATATTCTGTTGATAAACATAATTTTTGCCATCTGAAACGAACTTCAGAATTACGAACTGAAGTTAAATCATAAATTTTATCCATTGCGATTATTGCTGAATGAGGTAAGGGCGAACATTCAAACATTCGGTCCAAGAACACCACTTTTCAATTATTTTAAATATATTATCGACAGATATTAATGTTTGAAATAAATGAAATTTTTGGTTCAAACATATCTTAAGATTAACTTACCTTTTTGATTCGTAATAAAATTTTCAATGTCTTTTGGTGAGAATTCTTCAAAATTTTCATTATTTCTTGCCAAATCCCACCTAACAAACCGAGAACACTATTAATCGTCTATTTTAAAACGAAATTAATATTAATATAAAATGTTCGAACCTTTTAGATAATTCATTACATGCTTTCGCAAATGTTTGGTCAAATTCATTAATTATTGGTGGCTAAAAAATCGATATTACCATAAGACTTCATTAAAATAAATATATATACACAATATTTGGTTAAATTACCATTCCAGGAGAATGTAACCAGACATTCCAATCAATTTGATCTAATGCGGCTTTTTTCTCGGTCCCATAATTTTTTTCCATGTATAGATATAAGAAATTTTTCCAATCGTCTGTGGTGATTGCTTTACCACCAAATTCTTCAACATAAGCCTTCATATAAGGTTCAAAAAATTTAGGGCCACCGACTACTTTCTGAATGTAATATAATAGATTAAATCCCTTTTCTGTAACAAAAAAAATTGTATAAGTAAATCAGCGATTTGCTATAAGTGATTTTGTTCGACTTTATAAAAAAAGTTTTACCATATGGAACGCAGGAGAAACAATCATCGGGATCTATTCCTTTCAAAACAGGTTGTAATGCAGTCAAGGGGTTGTCTTTGCCAAAAAGATCAATATCATCTTTTAATAGACCCCATGCAATAATTGCGCTAAAATCACTAAATTGTTCGTCATGTACGCGACCTAGAATCTTTCTTTCAATAAAGACGGTCCATCCTTCATTAAGCCAAAAATGTTCCTATATGATAATTAATAATAATTATTAATTTCTATATATCTTTTTTGAAAATTATTTTTTCATTTACCCAATTTGATGTTGTAACAAGATTTCCCATCCAACTGTGAGCAGCCTCGTGCGCGACTACATCCACAAGAGATTTATCTCCAGCTAACAATGTAGGTGTGACAAAGGTTAAACAAGGATTTTCCATACCACCACTTTAAAATGAAACAAATAAATTAATTATTAGTTATTAGGGTAATGATGTCCAATAGAAACAAAGTATATAATGATAAGTTACTAAGGAAATGAAGCAGGAAGAACCAATAAATCATATTTCCCCCATTTATAAGGAGTCAGAAGTTCTTCCCCTGTGGTAATAAATTTTTCAGTGTCTGAGAATTCCCAAGCAGCATCTTCTAAAACTTCTGGTTCAGTCCACACGGTTGATCTAGGACCAATTTCCTTGCCTTTCAAATTCCCGACTGCCAAAGCAATTAAGTAAGAGGGAATTTTGACTTTTTGTATAAATTTATAAAGTTTGAACTTATTGTCATCCATATCCTCTTCACCAACCCCAATAGCACTCATCAAAGCTTTAAGAGGATGGTGCACTTGAATGTTAGCACTATAGGTTAATTTGATGGATGGTGTATCTTGACACGGCAAAAGCGATCGTGCATGAATCTAAAAAAGTAACGCGAAAATTGGTTTAGACTGATTATAACATATAATGATATAAATTACTTTGATCCTTACCGCTTGACATTGTGTAAAGAGGTAAGGATGTTTCTTTCCAACAGTTTGACTGCGGTGTATTTTCGTTAGATTTAGTGGAGAAATTTAATGCAATTATTTGTCATTATAGGTACCTTGGTTCTAACCATTGAACCGCTGTACTTTGTTCTGTGGTGTTATAGGCTATTTCCAATTTGAATTCGGTACTAGCAATTAAAGGTTTATCAAGCTCAATGTGCAAGCCTTTTCCAAAACAAGCAGTTTCGTCACTAAAGTGAAACTTTTACGGGAGCAAGTAATTAATAAGAATCATCGTTTTTTTTAACCACGCAAAAATATGTCGTACCTTCAGTGGTGTTTTGGCTTGCGAAACGGATCTAACATTGAGATTTCTCGTGTCAAGAACAACTTTGCTAACATTATCAGCTATGGAAATCAGACTAAGTGTAGCAGTTCCATCGAGAGTTTTTGAATCGAAATTAACTTTCAAGTTTAATTCAATGTGAGTAGTTTGTATTTCGTCAATATTAGATAATGTGCTTGGGTCGTATACCATTTTGAAAGTTGTGACAAACGTATTTAATCCGTTTTTTGCAGGACCATTTACATCTGCATCTGATCTGACAATGAATGTCGATCACCCTCTAAAAAATGATTTTTGATGTAAATCATGATTCAAAAACGCGTAATGTTCAATAGATATTTTTTTTTTGTTCAAATAAAGTGTGTTGATTTAAACAATTTTTCTATAATATAATCATGCAAGTTTTTGATTAATATTCCAATAATATATCATATGACTATACCCAAAACTAATTACGAAAATTAAAAAAGGTTGACGGAACATTCAGTTATAATTGTCATAGCGCCCTCAAAAAAAATTTGATCATCCCATTTCTTTTTTTGGATTAATTGTTTTGATTTATTGTCTGTTTATAAATTTTTAAAACAAATAATACTCACACACACTTTCTCTTTTTAGGGGTAAATTCTAGTAAAATTATTTTTTTTTATATCGATATTCTTTTTATTTTTATTTTCTTAAATAAACTACTTCTAAGCGAAGTACCTTTTCGTAAATTGCATTTTGTGGATTTTAAGTCAGCAATTATTAAATTTCATCATTAGTTAAAGTTAAAATGATATCACTACTTCCAGAAGACTGTCTAATCGATATCTTTGAGTACCTACGAAATGATTTTAAATCTTTGAATTCCTGTGTTCGTGTTAACCGGATTTGGAATGAAAGTGCAATTTCGATATTATGGAGTAATCCCTGGATTATTGAGGAAGTAAATGAAAAGGTTAAGGGCCAAGGAAAACAAATCGAACTCATTGACATTTATATTTCATCCTTGCCTCAAAAATCCAAAAATTTTCTGCAGCAAAAAGGGATTGTGATACCAAAATTTTCTCAACCTTTCATATATAATTATACGAGCTTTATGAGAACTCTTAATATATCATATATCGAAGATTGTGTTTGGACTTGGGTGACTAATCAAACGAATAATTCGGTGAGGGACTTTATACAAAAAGTTGAATTGATCATACTTCATTTATTACAATTAATTCTGAAGGAATCAGGAATTCGAAAGATTATCGCTTATTATATTTCAAGCAACAAGGCCACACTCCCTCAATTAGTTGATATTTTAACAAAGTTTCCAGAATTTGGAACGTGTTTTTCACACCTTCAAGAAATCGTGTGTGACAGTACCCTTTCAATAATCCCTCAAGTGTTTGAAAAGTTAATACCATACAGCAAGATGATTAAACGGATCGTAATAAAGAAATATGAGGATTCGAGGGAACTGAGTAACCTGATTGGGACTCAAGCCGGTTTGCAAGAACTATTAATATATCATGAAAATTACAATTATCTCATCCCATTTGCAAAGCAAGAAGTTTTTAAGGGGATGATATTGCAGTCAAAAAATTTATTACGATTGGAACTTTATTCTTTTGATTTCCCAATTCATACCCTTGGAGAATTTGAAAATTTAGAAGAATTGAAATTGTTTAGATATGGTTCATCGTTCATCACTCCTGAAAGTTTAGCACCTTTAGCAACAATTTCATTAAAGAAACTTAGAAAGGTCTCTTTTCATAATTGGGTTTTGATGCATCTTGAATCCTTTGCTAATTTTTTTGAAAATACTAACGAAGAATTAAGAGAGATTGTAATTAGAACAAACTATACGATCGCTGATCGACAAAATACGGGGAAACTTATCAATTCAATTGGAGTTCATTGTCCAAAGCTTGTCACCTTGGAAGTCCCTGGTTCGCCTGAGGATGGTCATCAATTGAAAACTTTATTAGAATCCTGCAATAAATTACAACATATTTCCATTTATAATATTAATCAAAAGAATAAGAAAAATTTAAAAGAATCCGAAGAGGGATTTAATGAAAATTTATTACAAATTCTTACACGTCATTCTTCGCCTAATTTGAATCGTTTATCGATAAGTCATATTGAGTTTTCTATGAAAGATATCGAATCATTTCTTGAATATCGTTCATTAATTTCTAGGCCAATTATATTTCATTTCAATTTTGGAAATGATAAGAAAATCAAAAATCTATTAAATAGGTATAAAAAGAGGGGAATTTTGAAGAAAGAACCTGTAATAAGATCAAATTAATTAACAAGAGAATCTTTTAAAATAAAAAAAAAAAAAAATCTTTAGGGTCTTCTATGCTAATAAAATTTAGATACAATGTAAAAGTTTTTCTCAAATATCGACATCTTATTATTAAATTTATAGGCGCGATACCATTTTCCTTTGTCTCCTGCATGTATGACATTCCTAATATTAAAAGATAATTTTTTAATGGAAAAAATATTTGACGACAAAATGATCCTCAAGAAAGTTCTGCGTCATATTTCAAATTTCAAAATGTATATATACTTGAACGATATTTATAATAGATATCATTTATTTATTTATTAATATTATTAATTATATTTTTTTTTTTAAAAAAAAAAAAAAAAAAAAATCTAAAATCTATATTTGTAAAAATCTCTAATACCCCCCCCCCCCCCCATACAAAAAATATATTAACATAAATTCCATTCTTATTGTAGATTTGTCAACGTTTGTTTATTAACTAAATCATAATAATATCCTTTTTGTGCTACTAAATCGAAATGTTGACCTTGTTCAACGATTTTACCCTTCTTTACGACGCATATTAAATCAGCATTTTGAATTGTTGATAATCGATGTGCTATTGTAATTGTTGTTCGTCCTTTTGAGGCAGTGTCTAAAGCATCTTGTACAACCTTTTCCGATTCTGAATCTAGAGCAGACGTTGCTTCGTCAAGAAGTAAGAGTTTTGGTTGACGAATTAAAGCACGCGCTATCGCAATCCGCTATTATTTTTTGAAAGAAAATGATACGTTAGTCCATTAAATATATATATATAAAAAAATAAAATAAAACTTTTTAAATAACATGTAAAGATTCAATAACTTACTTGTTTCTGACCACCACTAAGTTGGGCTCCTCGTTCACCAACGGGGGTATCATAACCTTTCGGTAAACCGATGATGAAATTATGTATATTGGCATCTTTTGCCGCGGCTTCAATTTCTTCTTGTGAACATCCTTCTTTACCGTAAGCGATATTTTCACCAATTGTGAAGTCAAATAATACAGGTTCTTGACCTACAATAGACATATTTGCTCTTAAATATTCCATATTCCAATCCTTAACATCAACTCCTTCAACATTAACTGTGCCAGATAGTAGATCATAATAACGAAGTAATAATGACACGACCGTGGATTTTCCAGATCCAGATCCACCAACCAAAGCAATTGTTTTACCAGAGCCAATTGCAAGGTTTAAACCACGAAGAATTTTTAATGCTGGACGAGCAGGGTAGTTAAAGTGAGCATTATGTAATTCACCAGATCCAGTAAAAGGAGTAGGTCTGTCCTTCCCTTCGTTATTAGTCGGATCGATCTTAGATTCACGATCAAGTATCTCAAAGATTGATATTGCAGCAATCTTAGCCTTTGCAGTATTTGGAGCAAAGGTACTTAAAAGAATAAAAAAATAAAATTAGAAAAATATCAAAAATAATAGAATTTGAGATAACCTCGAAATATTTTGATTTCAAATAAACCAACCTTGTTTGTCCGGCAGCCATAGCACAGAAGATAACTGCAAAGAGGACTTTCAACATATCGCCCTATAACAATTCAATGATTTCGAAATTTAATTATTTATTTGTACAAATCAAAAAGCTCAGCTAGAAGAACAATACGAAAACTTACTTGTGTGTATTCTTGACTCGCTACTAATTCACCTCCGTACCAAAAAGCAAGGGCATATACCAAAAATAAAAGACCTTGAGATAGACCGAAACCAATAGATGACACTATGCTTCCTCTGATAGCAATACTATGAGGCTTTTTGATAGCTTTATTATATAACTCTTTGAAGGTTTCTTCGCGAGATAAAGATGCAATCGTGCGCATATTTGCGACAGATTGTTGAACGATTTGACCACTTTCTTCATATGCATTACGCGTTTTTGCACCAAAACCAGCGAGAGTTTTCATTTGTAAAATGCCGGAGGCAAAGATTAAGGGAGTTGCGGCTAATATGACCAAAGTTAATTTCCAGCCGTATGCGAAAGCGATCCCCTAACAAAAATAAGCAAGTCAATTTAAATCTTTGAAACAATGAATAGATAAATTAAAAAATAAATTTAAACAACGCTCACCAAACCAAAAACCATGTTAGAGCCCGAATGGATAATACTGCCCATAAGGGTACCAGTTAAACCATCTACCTTAGTTGCGTCTGTTGCCAATTTTGAAGTCAAAGCTCCGGTATTGTTTCTTTCGTCATCAAAGAAGCCCATTTCCTGTTTCAAAAGGTGGGAAAATACCATCTTGCGAAGTCTTTTTGTAAGTATTTCACCGGACAAAATAAAGAGACCCTGTTGAGCAAAATTGGCCAAGGCAGCAACTCCAGCAAGAACAATAAACATTCCTGCCCAGAAATTTGCCTCACTACGTAATTCATTGGGCCTATCAATTTTAGTGTAAACATTCAACAAAGTAGAGAAGATTAATGAAAATAATGGATTAATGGCTCCATTAAAAATAGCCCCGATAGAGGCAATTATTATGTACAGCGTTTCGGGTTTTTGTAATTTAAAAATTCTTGCAATCGGAGCAGATTGCTTCGATCTCTTCTTTAATTCTTCTTCAATATCATGATATGATTTGACAGTTGAAGCCTTGGTTTCAATACGTTTCAGATAATTCTTTTCATTAAACGTAATTGTCGTTTCGCTTTCGATGTTTTCATCGTCATCATCTCCATAAAATCCGGATTTTTCTGCGTCGCTCTCAGTTTTAAGTTCTTGAGCTTTTACAAGTCCATAGTAAAAACCTTTAGAAGCGATGAGTTCTTCATGACGACCAACTTCGAGAATTTCACCATGTGACATTACAACTATTTTACTGGCATTTTTAATGGTAGAAAGGCGATGGGCTACAACAATTGTTGTACGATCAGTTGCTGCAACATCAAGAGCCTCTTGCACGAGACGTTCTGATTCCGTGTCAAGAGCCGAAGTTGCTTCGTCAAGTAATAATATTGCGGGATTCTTGATTAAAGCACGCGCGATAGCAATTCTATAATTAAAGCACTTTAAGATTTAGTTTGACATTTCACGACGCAGTAAATCTTTGACTTATTGAACACACCTTTGTTTTTGCCCGCCGGACATGAGAGACCCTTTTTCACCGACGTCAGTGTCATACTTTTGAGGTAAATCGTCGATAAACTCATGAGCATTTGATTTTTTACAAGCTTCGATAATATCATTCAAAGAAGGTTCGGGCCCATCAGGATTGGCACCCCAGGCGATATTTTGTCGTACACTTTCAGGGAAAAGGATAGGTTCTTGACCAACAAGACCAATTTGAGCACGTAATGACTTGATATTTATTCTCTTAATATCTTCACCATCCAATAAAATTTGACCTTCAATTGGATCATAGAAACGTTCTAGTAAACCTACAATCGTGGATTTACCGCTTCCAGAAGTACCAACTAGAGCGACAGTTTCGCCAGGTTCAATTGTAAGACTAAAGCTTTTAAGAACTTGTACATCAGGACGGGCTGGATAATGGAATTTAAGATTTTTGAATTCAAGCCGACCTTTTACCGCAGCTTTGTTGAGCATTTTACCATCAGATGAGGCTGAATCTATAGTGGGTATACGATCGATGGCGGCGAACAAATTATATGCAGCTCCCATCGCAACACTGATCGCTGAAAAGTTTGGAGCGGCTCCGCCGATGGAGAAGGTACCAATAAGGATGGAAAAAAAAACATTTAAAACGATACCACTATCAGCTTCTCCAGCAAGGATCAATATACTTCCGTACCAAAAAGCGAGTCCATAAGTGCAATAGATGATAGCCATAATTGATCCCGTTGATATAGCGGTAATTACAGCTTTCTTCTTTCCAACTTTATAAGCTTGCTGAAGTTTTGTAGTATATCGAACTATTTCACGTTGTTGTCCTCCAAATGCTGTTACCGTTCTTATTCCAGAGAGGACTTGTTCAGCTATCGCTCCAGCTTCTCCGTATGCATCTAAAAAATTAACAAGAGAATATGAATTATATGTAAAATCATGATGGAACAAAATTATCAGTATTTTTTGGTTTCTGAATTGACCTTGTCCTTGTTTCGTAGAATTTGCGAGCAATTTTGACATAAAACTGGCGGCACCAGCAAGTAAAGGAAAAGCACTACAAAGAACAAGTGCAAGTTTCCACCCTAAAGATTGATATAAATTTAGCATATTGCATTGATTTCGAAAAAAAAAAAAGAAAATTTCTATTCAAGCATAATATCCCACCTTTGATAAAAGCAATGACAAACCCAGTGATAAAGGAGGCAACATTCTGTATGATTAAACCAACTTTTTCAGAAATACCTTCTTGGTATAAGTCAGAGTCAGAAGAAATACGATTAGTAATATTTCCAGTTGACATTTTATCAAAGAATGCAATATCTTGACGAAGAATGGCCGCGTAGTAAACTTGACGTATTTTCTATGAATTTATAAGATTCAACGCAAATTTATATATTTTATATTTATCATTCACAAATCAAACATTACACTTTACACAGAAATTACCTTTGCCTGTCTTTCACCGGCAATCATCCAAAGTGACATTTGAAAATAAGAAAGTATAAATACTGCAACGGCCAAGATAACGAATAATATAACTTTATTTTTAACGACGAGTTTTAACTCTTCTGCAGCTACGATCATGTCTCCTTCCTTTGTTTTGGTGATAGCAAAATTAGCAAAAGCTTGAAGGACATCAGCAAATATTATAGTCATTAATGGCATGGAAACCCCGTTTGCTATTGCTCCAATTGAACCAAAAAATATCATTAATTTATCTAAGGGAGTTGCGAATCGAAACAATTGCAAAAATTTAACTTTGTCATTTTCATTTGAAGTTTTATCATCTTTTTGTATAGCATCTATAACAGTAAGTTTTTTCTCATTTAGAAGATTGTTTGAAGTGAGCGTATTCAAATTGTTATCTGATATATCTGTCATTCCTTTTTAATTGTTGATTTAAATTGGTTTATATAAATAATGAATCGTGCGCAAGTATTAATTTAGGAATTTATTGATTTATTTAATTTGATTTAACTTTGGTAAATTAGCTTATGTTTCTTATTATGATTATTAAAAGTAAAACTTTTAGTTTAATCTTTTCCTATATGCTTAATTTATAATGAGCAGATAATTTGTTCAATATGAATCAACTTTATTAAATTCGTTAAAAAGTTGCTAATAAGAGAAATCGCTTTCTGACCTGATATATTTATACATTTCGTGCCCTTATCGAAATAATTAAATATCTACAAGTCAACAAAAATTATTGGATCAAATTTATCCGTTCCGTTCATATTGTGCTATGACTGTTTAATTTTTGATTTAAAAAAAAAATCTACTTAAAAAGAACGGAAAAAAAGAATTTCCTTCGGTTAGAACGGCCCGCAGGAATAATAATTTCCACGGAATAAGCATTAAGCCAGTATTGGCCGTTTGGTCATTGGCCATTTGGCCAATTTGGCCGGCCAAAATGGCTAAAAAAATCTTTGGCCGCGGCCAAATGCCAATCAAATTCTAATAAGTTTAATACATTTATTAATACCCCAAGATTTGGCTGTTTGGCCATTTTGACCATTGGTCACGGCCAAATTGGCCAAAAAAATTTCTCGACCAGTCATAACGACAATGATTAAGATCGGACTATCCGGGTGACACGAAAATTCCGATGTCCGAATTTGAGATTGGTCATTTTTATCTTCTACATCTTGAATAAGAGAAAAAGAAATAAATTTTCTGCTCTGACTTTAAAAACAAGATTTTTTAAAAAATTCGTTACAATAATGGTATCGATTGATGTTGATCATAAATTTTGATTGGTTACTGGATTTGACGATCAATGATGATCCTGATCTATACGTGCAAGAAAATATTTTATAGACTGTGTATAATAAAATTCGGTAAAGACCAAATGTTAAATTGTGGAAATTATATTTTAGATTTTTCAAATCATTTACAATTTGTGATACAAAAGAAATAAATATAAATATAAGAAATAATATTTAATTGATTACAACTTTTAAAGTGAAAAAGTTTAATAAGCAATCACGTGTAATATGATTGTAAACTAGAATTCAATTTATTGAGCAGGACATTTTGCATAGAAATATTACACTACCCAAATTAAGTGTCCGATTTTGGCTCTTGAGTGAATTACTCTGTAATTATGAACTAAAAAAAAAGTGGAAATAATTTTTTGTATAATTCTTTACTTCATATAAATGTTTTATTTTGTAATATTAAGTGATTATAGATAGTATATAATTATAATTAAAATGATAATAATCGATCTAAATGTATTATATAAATTATATAACATATAAATCTAATTTTTTTTTTAATCTTTAATTAATAAATTTTACTAAGTAAATTTTTATTAAAAAAATTTTATTCTATTATAATATTTTTTATATAATAATTTATTATTTATAATTATAATTAATAATTTTTATTATATATTATTTATATTTTACATTTATATTATTTATATTTCTTTCATAAAGTTTTCTCTTTGATAATTTTATATTATATAAATTTAGTTTTTTATTGATTTTTTTATGTGATCTTTTGTATAACTTTTACATATTTATATTATAATCTTTTTAATGGTTTTGCCTACAAATTTATAGGTAATTTTATATATTAATTAAATTATTTTATAATTTATAATAAATTTTTAATATTTTTTAAGTAAAAATTACAAAAAAAAGTAATTAATTAATGAATTTTAAAGATAAATATATAACAAATTATTATATATAAAAGTATAATTTTTAAAACTTATATATTTTATTATCTATTAATCTCAAAAAATAAAAATAAAACTATTTAATAGGACTTAATAAAGTAAATCTAACTAAAAATGTGCATTATAATTAAAAAAAAAATAGTATAATTAAGTTACAACTTATAACATAATTAAATTTACTTAAAATATAATAAAATTGCAACTCAAATGAAATTTAAAGTAATTATAGTGACTATCTTTAAATTATATAACTAAATTTTATTTTTCTGTGATTATTAAATAATAAGTAATTTTAAAATTAAAAAATTGATATATATATTGATAATTACCAATTTAAATTTTAAAATACTATTATTAGATATTTTTTAATATTATAAATTTAATAATTTTATTTCATCTTTTTATAATTACTAAATATCAAAATATTATAATTTTTCTAAAATGTTTTATAATGATTTTATATTTACTATTTATGAAATAATTAATTTTTATTAAATATTTAAATAAATATTAAAAACAATCAAAGTAAAAATTTTCAAAAATTTATTTTTAAGTAAAATAATGTAACTTTTATTATCTAATTTAGAATATTACAGTATGCTTTTAAAATTAAGCATTTTTTTGCTATAGCAATTAAAAATAATGTAGTAACTAATTGTAACTGATAAAAAATAAGCATTATAGGATTGCAACTAGTTGCAATATTAATAAAAATTGAGTTGCAACTAATTGCAAATAGTGATAAATAAGCATTATATAGTTGTAACTAGTTGCAGTGCTATCTTTAATAGTAATACTTAATTTTATTACTAATTAGAAAACAGAACTGTTATACATCTAAAGCATTAATTTACATTCTTAAATATATAACAGAATAAAGTTTAATAAATAATTTAATGCAACACTGATTTTTTATATGATGCTAATTTGTTAACATAGCATCACATAAAGAATAACGGAGTAAAAGACACGTGTTTATATTATACTTAATCTTAAATTTTGATTATTTAATTTTATGACTGACAGACAAACATTATATAGTTTTGACTATAACAGAAGTGTTCTTCACTACACTTTAGACAATAAATTGCTAAATTTTCAATCTTAAAAGTTATACAATATTTTATATTTTATAATATATTCAATTTATCATCTTATTACATAATCTGTAATACTTTTTATTAATTATCTTATTACATAATAAATAAATAATGTTCTGAATAGTTCAGTTCAATTTAGATTAAAAGTCAATTTGAATTTAAATTGAAATTTTAGTTCAGTTTAGATCATTAATCTTAAATATGCTAATCTAAATCTAAATCAAATTATAGACTATTAAATATCTAAATTGAATTAAAATTTTTAGATTAATCTAAAATTTTAATTTAACTATATATAAATTCTAAAAAGAATTCACAATTAATATAAAATTACAAAAAATTTGCGAATTTTCTAAAAGGTTACAAAAATATTATAAAACTTTTAGAAAATTGTATAAAATTTGCAATTTCTTTTCAAATTTTATAAAAAATTGCAAAACTCTTAAAAATCACAATCCTTTTAGAAAATTTACAAATTTTTGTAATTCTCTAAGAATTTTATAAAAAAATACAAATTTTGAAAAAAATTTGCTACTTTTTGCAATCTTTTAAGATTTGTAAATAAGTATAAATCTTTTAGAAAATTTATAACTTTTGCAACTTTTTTAAAAATTTTATAAAAAATGTAAGCTTCTTAGAGAATTTACAAATTTTATAAATTTTATATATAATCAAACTAAATTTTCAGATTAATATTTATATAATCTGAAATTAATTTGAACTGATAATTTATCTAAATCAAAATAATCTTTAAATTAATAATTTAAACTATTCAAAACTTTAATATAAATTAGTATTATCTTTTCATATAACCTTTTAATATTATATAAAATGCATAATTAGTTTTAATACAAATTAAAAGATAAGATACAAAAAAGATTAAAAAGTTTACGATATATAAATGAACTTCATATTTTTTTTTCAAAAATAAGTAGTAAAATATGTAAAAAAAAAAAAAAATAAAGTAGTTGCTTATTTAAACTTAATGATAGCATAATTAAACATTAGATATAAATTGATTAACTGAGATAAATAAAAATAGCAAATAAATTAGAATTAATTGAAAGTTTTTTTTCTTAAAACTTAAAAATTAGATAATAAAATAAAAAATCAAGCTTTTTTATTAATTAGAAATAAAATGCTAAATATATTAAAAAATCTGAAATACTAGTTTTTTATGATAATATATTAAAAGATTTTAAAATAACTTACTATTAATTAGTTACATTTTTAAAATGATATAGACTAATATTAAAAAAAACTTATAAACATAATTCAAAAACTACTAATTTAAATTTAAGAATTATTTTCAATAATTTGTCATTTATCTTAAAACTAAAAGGTCTTTTAAATAAATAAATTTTTATTATAAATAAGATTCACTATTTAGTTCAATATAGCTAATAATTTTACAATTAATCTAAAAGATAAAAAAATAGTATATATTCAAATAACTAGTAATAAAAAATTAGTTTTACTATGATTTTGACTTATATTACAAGTAAATTCTTTATAGAATTTATTGAAAAGAAAAGTAAATATTTTATTATTTTTATTATCATTTATTTATTATTATAGATAATATTAAATTATTACCTATTTATATTTTTAAAAAAAAAATAAATATTATGAGAAGAATAAGTTCTACTTAAAGTAGTAATATAGTTTTAAGAAATAAATAGATAAATACTAATTTAATGAAAAGATATAAAAATATTTTAATAATATATAAGAACTAATAATACTTTAGCAATGTTAATATAATCATCTCTTTCAATAATTATCTTTTATATAATTATACTATATAAATTTCTTATTATAAGTACATATTTCATAAGAATTAATACTTATTAATACTAAATAAAAAATTTTTTATAATCATAATATTTTTATAATTATACACTTTTAGAATTAACACTTAGTGATAATATACAAAATCTTTTATATAATTACTTTTTATTATAATCATACTTTTATTTTAATCCTAAAAAATATAACTATAAAGGGAGATAATTATATATGATTTATTAGAAATTATATAAAAGAATCTATTAAAATAAAGTTTTATAAAAGTAAATATAATTTAGAAATAA